TGAATCATATTACAGATAAAGATATAAGTTAAATTCTTTGACTTCAAGTTCTTACAGATGAATATAAAGTGTGTCATCTTAATAAAGTAATTCACTATTATCAGCACACTGTCAAAGCAGGTATTATATATATTCTTACTTTCAGAGAGACTTATAAGAGTATTCATTTCTAGCTATTCTCAAGGTTTCTGTGAAATGAGTAGATAAGTAAGTTCTTCATATAATCTGAATCACACTACTTATGAATTCTGATATATAGTATAAGAATTCACTATCTTCTTTATAAATTCTTGTATCTTCAGTCAGAAGTATTTTCTTATAAATAACTTATGAGTTCTAGTGTCTATAAAATGACTTACTAGAGAAGAGTTATAATATCTTTTAATAAGTTCTATACATAGAAACTTATTCATAGATATATAAATCCAGCTCTCTCTTTATAAGAGATTATTTAAGTTTCTTTAATTCTTTATTTCTGCAGGATTGATCTCTGCTGTGAGCAGTTTCTGAATATACTGAGTATATTTATTCTTCAGTTGCAGTTCAGACAATCTGAATAGAAGATTTTATAAAGACTTATACTCTGTTTCTTCTTATATCAGATCTTCTACAGTGCTTCTCAAAGTTCATAAATTCTTCAGATTATAAGTACTCTCTTCAAGAATTCTTGTGAAGATTCTTAGAGTATTAACTCTCAGTGTTATAGAGAGTAGTTGTACAGACTTCTTTTCTCTCTCTTCTCTCTTCTCTTACAGAGAATTGAGAGACTCTTCAGTTAATCTCTTTATAACACTTATTTTAAGCATCTTATAAAGCTTTTCTGTCTTCTCTAGCTTCTCTATATCTGTTATTCTGATCTTCTTAATATAGTCTAATCTGTAAGAGAGTCTGTTCACTGAGTTCTTAGTTCTCTTAATATATTCTATCTTGAATCAGAACTCACTCAGTCTCTGAACTCAGTGAATCTATCACTGTGAGAGTTTCTTGATTGAAGTAAACTGTTATAAGCTATTATAATCAGTTTTAACAGTAATTACTGTTATAAGACTCTTAAAGTAGTGATATCAGTAATGAAAGAATTTCACTATTATAAGAAGCTTCTAATTATAAATGTTATAGTTAATCTCTATAGATTACATCTTCTATAAGAAAAAGATTACTGAAACTCAGTTCTTATTTAACTGTAGTTATAAGACTATTTCTGAAATTATAAAGAAGAAGACATCTATCTTTAATTTAATTAAGAGTAAGAGATTAAAGTAAAACAGTATTACTACATCTATAAATATCTATTTTAATCTTACAAAGACTCTGTAAGCTTCTAAAATAAGAAAGTTCTTATAGTTCTTTCTTCTTAATAATCTTTTCATTCTCTATTCACAGAATAACTTCTTCTTATTTTTATTCTTCAGTATATCTGTAAGAGTTAAGAAGATTCTTATAAATATAAAGATAAACTGTCTATAGAAATTCACAAAGCTCAGAAAGATCTGAATCTTATAAATACTAGTTAACTTCAGTTATAATAGAATAGTCTCAACTTATGAAGATTTTATCTGAATATTATTTACAGTGATTATATATTCTAGAAAATTAATTCAGTAAATACTGAAGTTATACTTTATAAGCTTAATATACAGTTCTGTCTCATCTAAGATCTTTAATATACTTTATATATACTCAGTGTGTTCTTTCTTCTTTGCAGAGTACACTATCATATCATTCAGATATATTATTATAAAGACATTCAGATATATATGAAGTATTTTATTAATAAAAGACTGAAATACTGTGAAGATATTAGTCAGATCAAAAGATACTACTAGATATTTAAATAATCTCAGTGCAGTTCTAAAGACAGTCTTTTATTTATTTTCAGACTGTATTCACAGCTGTGTATATATATTAATTATATTCAGTTATATGAATATAACAGCTTCTGTAAGATAATTAATTACATTCTCAATCAAAGATAGAGAATAGTGACTCTTTATTATCTTGAAGTTCAGATTATAGTAGTTTATACATAATCTGAAATCTTTATTCTTCTTCTTTATAAATATCACAGAGACTTCTATAAAGATCTGTGAAGATTAGATAAAGTTATTCTTTAGATTCTTCTTTATATAGACTTATAAGATCTCTGTCTCATAATAAAAGAGTTTATAGATTGATTCTCAGAAGAGTTTCTATTCTTCTATTAAATTTATTATCAGATTCTTCTTATAGTGAGAAGAAAGCTCAGCTATCTTTACTGAGTTAAATATCTCTATAAGATCTCAGTATTTCTCTGATATCTGAAGCTCAGTTTTCATAATTATGAGATTCTCAGACACTTATAAAGTTATTATATAGATAAGCTTATCTTCTCTAATTAACTCTACAGTATTAACTGATTCTATCTCTGTAAGTAAGTTTATTAATACTAATTGAAAGTATAAATCTGACTCATGAACAGCTATGTGTAGATTATGTCTTTAAAGTTATATAAGTTTTAAGTATATATTATCTATAATATCTGTGATAATTACAGTTTCTGTAAATCTTCTTCAGATTTCAGAGAGATCTTATAATTCAAAAGTAACTCTTATAAGTCTCTTAGTTCTCAGGTCTGAGTTCTTATACTCTGCTTATTATAAGAGCAGATTCTCAGTTTTTATCATTCAGCTTATTTACTCTGTAAGTCTTAGAAATACTACAGTGATCTGAGATTCTGAGTTTATTAATACTTTTCATACTTACAGAGTAGTAGTACTGCAGTGCAGTCTCTCTCTATAAGTAAGTATTTTTATTGAAAGAGTAACAGATTCAGATATCAGTTTTAAGATTCTTAAGAAGACTGTTACTAACTCTGTCTATAACTTCTTAAATTTCTATTTTAATTTATTTAGATAGTTTGTGTGAAGATATTCTAATTTAGAATAGATAAAGCAGAGTCTCTTTTTCTTAATCTCTCTATTATACACTCTATTTATAGAAGCTTATAAAACTCTCTCTCTACTTAATAGTCAGATATGAATCTCTCTATATCTTATTATCTTTTTCTAATAAATCTGTTCTCTGTTATTCTGACTCTTACAGAGCTGATTAATAATTCACTCTCTATAAGTCTATGACTCTTACAGTGATTTATAAACAGTAAATAAAAGTCATCAGTTTCTTCAGAGTCAAGAGCTTAGAGTCTTACTTAATAAGCTTATTCTATATATTTTTATTCAGCTTCTTTATAAATATTATTATTCAGATCTTGTTTCAGAGCTCTATTTTCACAGATCTCAGTTTATATTATAATTTTATAAAGTACTGTAAGTAGTCTTTATCAGATTTCTTATCTCTTTTTCTAATATTAATAATTATAATTCAGATGTTCTCTGTTCAGCTCACAGAGTTTTTCAACTTATTTTTTAAATAGATCTTAAGAACAGATTAGCAGAATCTCTTATAATTATTCTCTAGATAATTCAGTTAGTTCTTAACTTCAGTATAATAGAGATCTGTTATTATATAAATAACAGCTTCTTCATCTTTTATATTATATAGTCAGACTTATAAGTCAATTTTAAATACAAACTTATAAAAGCTTTTATAGATTATAATTTAATAAGTAATCTTAAATAATTACAGCTTAAGAAAGTTTCTTTTCAGTTCATAGATATCTCTGAAAATTATATCTAGAAACTCAGTTTAAGAATGTTTACAGATAGTAAGTATTTCTTATAAAAAAATAACTTAGTTCTGTGAGAGATGCTCAAGAATGTTCTTTACTAAGATTAATATATTTATAAGTTCAGAGAGTTTCTCTATCACAGATATAGAGAATAATATTCTGTAAGTAATTAATAAGTTCTCTGAGACTTCTTTTATAAGAGTTATTCATAATTCAGATAGCTGCTTCTGAGTGTCTGCAGTAGAATTTACAGAGATTAAAGTATATAAGTTTCTAGTTCTTTCAGTTATAACAGATAGTTACTGACTGACTGAGCTTGAAATATAAGAATAAGTGCTCACAGACAATTATTCAGATATTTGCAGCTTGATGTGATATATACTATTAACTACTAGAAGTATTCACAGTAGAAAGATAAAATGTAGAGATTAAATATATAATAGTATTCAAGCTGAGTTATGAATAGTATTCATGAAGTTCAGTCTATATAGTTATGTGTAGTCAAGAGCTGCTAGCTCTATTGATTATACAAGAGATAGAAATAGAGGTAAAGAATCCGTGAGAAGCGGGATTTCTTACAGTATAAAAAAATACTCTTAATTTTTATTTTATATTATTTATAAAAGTAAGACTTTTAGTTAATTTCTATTTATATTTTAATAATTTTGAATATAAAATTATACAGTATTTAAAATATCACAGAGAAACTGTGTTAAATAACTGATTAATATGAAATAAAAGATATTATTCTTCAGTATTTATAAGATTTTAATATTAAATTAATGTTATTTTTATTCTGAAAATCTGTTAATTTTTAAACTGCTGTATTAAGATAATATAATTGACTCTGAATTTCTTTACAATCTCAGCATATTTAGAAATTAATTATTAATTCAATTAAGTGATTACTTGCTCTATAATTGCTTCATTGAGTGATATGATAAGTCATTGAAGTTGAAGAGTTGCAGGAATTCATGGAAAAAATAGCAGTTTGTTAAGTGAATGAGTTTGTTGAGTGATGAGTCACGTTAATGTCTAATAAAGAATGATATCAATGAATGAGATATTTTTTAGAATTAGTGATTGTATAGATTGAATGACAACATTATTAATATGATAATTGAGTTTTTCTGTTTACAACTTATTTACAGTGATTCATCATTCATCCATCATTATACTATCTCAGTGACCATGTCACCAATTGAAACAGTAGAACAGCCATAATCCGGTCGTGTAATAACCCTAAGCTTTTCCGGTATGAATGTTGCAGCCAAACTAAACCCGTGATTTGGACCTTGGCCCTTGACAGTCTCTTGAAAATAACACAATGAAAGCTGGAAGTAAATGCATCACCTTTTGCTAGTTACTTTCTAATATGTAATAATAATAACCTAGCAATTCTTGTCTACTTCGTGGTTCTCGAGCGAAACTGGTAGGAAAGCTTCAAATTCAAAACTACTCTGGATCTACGTACCCGTAACATAAGAAATCTCCCTGAATATCCATCACATCGGCAATTATCTTATCGTCGCCCATAGTGCCAAACATGAAGAGGACGTGATTTAATGTGGTGATGTTTCCCGGATCACCGGGCATTGCTCCGGGTTGTCTGTCGCGTTTAGTTTTACCAAAATTAGTTCCTTTTAAATCTCATGCATGAAGGCAGAAGAAATAGGCAACTTACGGATAGTCTGGCGGACCGGGAGGGAAGCCGGAGTTTTCATCAAAATTAGTTCCACCCATCTCAGACAGACGCGCTGGAAGGTCCTTCGCCTGCCAGTCCCACCACAACTTGTCGATCCAGGCGTGATGGAGAAAGAAGATAGGATCACCGGGGGAAGCGCCACCTCTGGCCATCTAACGAGAGTGAAAAAATGAATACCTATTAGATTTACCTCACGAACATGATCTAAATCGGTGCAGGGGCGGGAAATGGTTTTCTGAGGCATCACTCACTTGGCCCCCGACGCCATTGTGGCCACCACCATGAGGGTTCAGCTCGATGCAATTCCATGCTGATATCCAGTTAGGTTTAGAGGTGCAGTCCTCCACCCGTGCCCGGGAGGTGCCTAAGCTAACCGCATCATCGAAATTTCGATCGATGCACTGGGTTCTAATTTCGGATCCCGGTCCAAACGGGCTTGTATAGTTTGCGAAAGGTCCGTCGGTGATACAGCCTTCCCTCCCAAACCCATTGCCGCCGAAGCCATAGACGGAGTCGAAAATGTCAGATGAGGAAAATTTCCCTGCATCCATTTGCTCATACCAATAGCTGGAAATTCAAGTTCCGGGATATGTTAGGAAGGTTATATATAACGTGGTTACTCGACAGAGCTATTCCGGCAGGTTTTTGTGTGGTAACACACGCAAACGGGTTAGACAGAACTCACGGTTGGTAGCCTTTATAGCCACACTCTTCCCGAAGCGCAGCCTCATGACTATACGTCATCAACCGGTGGAAGGGAAGGAATGCTCCCTAGGTGATATATCGCAAATTAGCCATCGGCTTCGAACGACTGTTGTATCGGCTCTTCGTGGTATAGCGGGAACATACGACATAATGGTTCATATATGCTGTGTGCACATGAAGAGCTTGGAAATCATCAAACCGTGTTATTACACCTTTAAAAGCGGTTTTAGGTGGTTTTCTCATCAAACAGAGCTCAGCATCGATGTATGCTTGTTTCTCAGAGTTGCTCAAAGTGTGCCTGCAATTTTTATCAGCCATTAACTCTTGCAGTGGAACGGGGTTAGAGCACGCCTGTTTCTTCCAGTTATATGGGAAGAATATGCGTACCATGCTTTGCGCTGTCCTGGTGTGGTACACCGCGCTGAAACAACTGAACATACCACAGACAAGAAAAGAATGACTCGTCTGAGCCAAACCATGCTGGGCCTTGTGCGATTGATTTTCAAACGCAACGCTTTCCTGTCATGGAAATTACAGAAACCAAAAAGAGAAATAAGAAAGAAAGAAAAAGAGGAAATGATCTGTAGAAACTTAAACAGCAGGCCGGAAGACACGATGATATTTATGTACATATCGTGGTCAGTCGTAGGGCAATCCGGGAACCTACCTCCGCCCCGCGTGCTGCTTGCAAATGCTATGCAACCCAACATTTTAACATGAACCAACATAACAATTGGCCTGGGAGACCACATGCGTGATGCGAAGCTTGCTGTAACCAAGGCGTCGGTAAATGTTTGCAAACCCAGAACTGACTGGAAGAAAATCACTGAATTCCCCAGAGCCGCAAGTCTGGAGTGGTGTACTGCTATTTTGGCGCGCTGGAATCAAGTGGACCTAGAACACACACTGGTCTCTTGATGACTTGAAACTCCTTTACGGGATCGGGTTGGTTTCATGATAGTTCTGGTTGTAGCTCGTTCGAAACCAAAGACTTGGTATTTATGACCTCTGCCCACGTCAATTTGTCGAGGCATATGTAATGATATTTTTTTTTCCCCAAGTCGGTGTTCTAGAGCTGAGGATCTCCCCCGTTGTCGAGATACAGTCTGTGAGATGGACTTTGAATCCTTTTTAAGAGTCACAAGTATGGATTGGAAACGCCACTTCAGGTTCCCCATCAGCTTTGTCTTTCACAGTCAAACTCGAACTTTTTTCATTTTCTGCAGGGGTTGTCCAAAAAGCTTGTTTTGATGCTTTGCACAGCTAACAGCTGGGGGTTTATCCAGTATAAATTCTATGACGTGTTGGAGACTGCTTTGTGTTGGTCAAATGAACCAATCTTTATTTAGTTGTTTGTCCCAAAGCGTTCTTAACATAACTGCTTCTTATATTTGAGATGATGAACATCTTCTTCGAATCTTTGAAGTTGTGAAGCTCTCATCTAGCGAGGGTCAGATGGGAATTTGTATAAATTGGATACTGTGTATCTAGAAAAATCCTAGAAAAATCTGCCTATTAGCATATTTGCCTCTCACAAGTAACAGTTCATTCGTATCACGAACGGAATAACGAGAATCTCACCTCTCACAATATCGCCTAGCCCTAGGTATCGTTCGTCCATTCATCTTATTACCCTGAACACCTATACGACGAATTGGGCCGAGGGGTAATTTGTTGTAGTTACTCAGCGTGATAGGGAAAACTCAGAATCATTGATTTATTTAATCCAATCTGGATGCCAGTGAACCGATCAGATGAGACAATCAAAGTACATCAGAGGAGCATCGGTTGCTCGCGTTTCTTCTCACTTTTCTATCCCCATTCTCACTGGTCTGCAAGAAGCAAGCAGACACCACTTCGAGGCAACAATCCTCTTCGAATTGTTCACTTAATCGGTCATATGCCGATGCTGGCCATGCACGTAGGTTCTACGCATTGCACTAGTTACGCTGTACGTAGTATTTCGGCATATGTTTGACATCGCATACATATATACCTGTCCACGTAAATCCATCAATCGCAATCGCACCGTTTTGATATGGACTTGGGCGGCTCGGCTAGTCTTGGTTTCCGCTTTTGGCTTCGTTCTAGCAACTTGACAGGAACTAGTTAACTTAGTTATTTAAGCCTTCAAGCAAGTTGTGGATAAGCGAAGAACTGCAGGAAACACAGTCAATGCCCTCACCATAGTTACGTCTTCTTCTCGGCGGTTCTGCGGTTATGGGCAATAATGCAACTCTTTACTCCCATTGAAGGAAGAGTAGTTTGTTCCTGGGGCTTCATCATTTCTTCCCCATATCCCGCTGCTTTTCTCACTCCCTCTCCGACAAGGCCAGAGGCTAAAAAACTCAAAACCTCATTCTTGAGGCTTTTGCTGATCCTTTGGAACCTAACCAATCCCTAGTTACAAGCCTCACTCTCTACGGATAGGCGGTTGGAATAACGGCCGCAGTCTCGGTTTTGAAAACGCATGCCCAATGCCATCACTGGCCTCATCTGCCGAAGGCTGAAACGAACATGGATCGAGTCTTTAACGGATAGAAAACAATGGAATTGCTATTTCAACCCTTTGATATTTATCCTGGCCCTTGCCTGAAAATTAGCTCCTTCATCCAAGCTTTCGCTAGTTAGTTATGTTGCTCCTCGCAAATTTCTCAGCTGATCTCTTAGCCTAACAAGATGCCTGCCCAGGCATCATATATAGAGACAGTCATGCCCGCTTGATATCGCCGCTAGATTTCATTTATGCCTCTGTTTCTTGTCCTTGGGCATCTTACCTTTCCTTCTTCTACTTCTTCCTTAAAACTTTCGCTCATGCAGTTCCTTTCCCTCGCGCTTGTGCCTATGCTTCTGGCCGTAGCCAGCTTTGCGCATCCTGGCCATTCCATCGAGGGAGATGTTCACCGGCGTAAGTATCATCTTCAACATTCTGCAAGACGCGGAGTCTACGAATGTACGAGCGATCTCCAGAAGCGTGGTTGGATATCCTACCAGGCTGATCGGAGACATGCCCGCCTGAATGAACTTCGGGAGCGTGCTGGATATAAGTCTCTGGCTCGCCGTGACTCTGGCCTTGATGTAGAGCTTTTTGGCCGCCAAGCTAGCTGCGTGCTGGATCCTGAAGTCATGGAGGGCCCCTACTGTAAGGGTTCCATTTTATTTTACTATCACTTGTTCCCTCCAACTTGCCCTTTGGGGGATAAAAGACAGCTTTACTGAACATCAAAAGGGGTTGCGGGAGAACTTATCCGCGAGGATGTCCGTTCGGGAGTGGGCGGGAAGGTGGAACCTAGCGTAGCCCTTCACCTTGATATCAACGTTATCGATGTGTCAAACTGTCAGCCCATCCCAGATGCATATGTTGAGTTATGGGGCTGCAACTCGACTGTGAGAAACCCCCATCTCCCCCGCGGAACAAAAAGTGAGATATTTAAAGGCACCCCTTATCAACATGCTAAACATCCCTTTTTCCCCCTCCTCCATAGGGCGTCTACACTGGTGTCGTGGCTCCTGGAAATGGCGACGGCAACCCCGCCGAGATTGATAACAACGCCCTGCGAGGGATCCAACCGACAGCTCAGAACGGCACGGCCTCGTTTACCACCGTTTTCCCGGGCCACTACACTGGGCGTGCTAATCACTTACACAGTAAACACGATCCCCTCTTCCCCCAAGAATCCATAATCGAATTCTATATATTCATCTAGACAGATCAACTAACTACCAATTTCAGTAATTATCCACCATGGAGCTACGAGGCTCCAAAATGATACCATCAGAGGTGGCACCATTTCCCATGTTGGCCAGATCTACTTTAATGAACCCCTGATCAAAAGTGTCGAAGCCACTTCGCCGTATACGACGAACAAACAACGATGGACACCCAATGATAGAGACGTGCTTTTCCGGATAGGATTTCAGGGAGGCGATAACCCGATAGTGCAGACCCAGACGATAGGCGGCTCCATCAAAGACGGAATCTGGGGGACCATCGACGTGGGAGTCAACCCCCAAGCCGTGCGGAACCCCAAAAACGTGAACTGGTGGACCGAGGACGGTGGGATGCCGAACGACGGCTCTCCGTGGGATGAGTTCCCCGGGTCTGGCGGGGCTAACCCACCTAAAGAAACTAACCCACCTAACCCACCTAACCCACCTAACCCACCTAAGCCTTCCGAAACTGGAAATGGTGCGGCCAGAGCTCTCAGAAGGGGAGGGGCAATTGGTGGTGCGATGCGAAGTGTTAGATCGTTTCTCGAGAGTGCATGAAATTGAGACGGACAGCTAGAGCGGCAGGGAAAAGCTTTCGAGGTGGGATATCCAGGTTCTCAATATTATGTATAGGTCCAGTTTGCGATATCCTTTTCTTCCTTGGTTCTATCCTTATTTTGCACGCTGGTGTGCTTTCTACTAACTTACACCCGCATGTCATATAGCCCATTCGTTACATGAACATACATTACTATTCATTCTTTCCAAGTTTATAATACCCATTTCATAGTTCATGGTACATGGTACACCTGTAACGCAGTTCTCAGTTTCTCTCCTTAAAATCTCATCCCTGTCTCCTCTGCATCCTGATTTACATTGTTTTGCCGTTTCTATTTTTTCTTTGTTGCATAATTAATTCCAGTCCAATCAGATATACCCCACCATAAAATGTCTGGTTCTACATATAGTGTCAGTAATAGTAGATCGAGCGCATACATCCGTATACTGGATCAAGAGCCACGGGTACGATCGGTGTAATTGACGCGGTTTGAAATTAGGATGAACATCGACCCTAAGAGAAAGATCCAAGACGTCTAAATAGAGCGACGTATAGGAGGTAAGGTACTATACCTATCTAAATAGGTAGGTCTGGTTTGTGCCAAAAATCCCATATGCAACACTCGGTTATCACACCTTTCTTAATAGAAAATAAATAATCCCAACCAAGGAGGGCCACCAAGCGGATGAAGACTTGTCTAGGAAGGAGCCTCCCACATCCGAGCAAAGTTTGTCCAGCTCATCGAGCGCTTATGGCGCGGTGTTTAGTAGTCAGTGTCCCTGTGACGCTGCTTTGCAGACTTATCAGATCTTATTAAGGATGCTTGTAGGGAATCTCAGGAGGGCGATAGACCACATATTCTTCAGGATCCCCGACGTCAACTCTTGACTATTATAACAAGCTCTCTCTGCCTGATACGCCGAATAGCCCACCACGCACCAAATCATATTAACTCTCGAAAAGGATGTAGACTTGGCATCAATTGTCGAATGGTCAATCTTCCTCCCACACCTTCTGTTCATTTTCGTTGGGGGCGAATTCACTTATGATGAATTACTTCACCCAGGGGCAGAGCATCCTTAGCTTGCCCATACTGCTCTGGCCTTGCAATCCCTTGCTCTGGGAACAGATCCCTGACATTGTCGTTGATACTCTGCATTGCTTGCATGCCCAGTGACAGTCCATCCATGTCTCTTTCAACCTCCGCTTTTTCCTTGGGAGAAAAGTAGAATGGAAACCGAGGAACTTTGCCGTCTGTGGGTTTAATACCAGGAAGGTCTGCCCATTCTCCAGTTCAACAACCTGAGCAAGGTAAGGGCCCTTCGATGTTGATCAAGAGATTTCAAGCAAGGAGCAATAAGTCAAATTTAGGATTATCTTTGTACTCTAGGCCATGGTATAGTTTTGGGGTTTGTTTTTGTGAACGATGCTCTGTATCAAAAAGGCTTGCTTGTGATATAGAGCCCTGGCTTCTCTTTGGGCTTCAATTTCCAGCCTGAGTAAATCCTCTCACAAATTAGGTCGTGAACTAGTTCCTTTGAGGCCGTGAAGCTGTGGGCCATCATAATCCTGAAAGTAAGGTTGAGCAGTGTGAGATAACTCTCCAGAGCTGTTAGTTTCTCTCGTGAGATGGTATGTTCCTGCACCGTAAAGGAGATCTCTGAATGGCCTATGGCTGTTAGGTACTCTATCACCGGTGACCCTATGTTGTCTTGAGTTAGATAGTTCTATAACTCATAATAAAAGGACTTACACAGTCCGCCGTCAAATTCAACTGTGATCCTCCCATGGACGGCCGGATGGCAAACCTTCCATCCAACCGTTTGAGCCCTTCTTGTTCATCAGACATGCTTTGAGTCTAAATCCGTCAAGTGTCCTTGCGAAGTACAGACCGCGAAACTAAAATCGAATGAAAGACATCCTCGCTCTTTGGTATCAAGCAATCTTAGGGCAGACTAAATCTAGCAGCATGCCAGGAACCTTCGCTAAATGATATAACTCCACACCTACAGAGTTTCGCCTCGAGTTCCATGAATATACCTTTGGAACAGGGGCTTTGCATATGCTCCGCACCTATTAAAGGTAAAATCAAAAGGGACTCGGTAGCGTTGGGATAGAGAATAGGTAGTAGGTGCAAAATTCCATCCACGCTATTTCACTAGCAGTAGTGAGGTGAAGACGGCCGGCATTGGGATTAGGAATCTTTGCCATAGCTTCCATGCCAACTCGATGTTGATGCAATATTTGGCACCCACAGCAGCCGCCCTGACAGACGTAACTCCTCGACGTCAAAGTTGACATATCGCTACGCCAGCTCATGAGTTTCATTTTGAGTGAATATGCCACGAGTAAAGAGAGAGATAATATCATGGCCTGGACTTAGCACTATATCTGACTATTTAACCCCTACTAAACTTGATGGCTTGTTGTCCGCCGTACTCTCGATACCCGGGCCAACAAATGAAATGGTCACAAGTCAGTCACTGTGGACAGAAGTAGCTATTATCTGATGGAGTGATGCGCCTCTGGAATGAAATCATCCAGGGGTTTCGGGTTATCAGTGGGCCGTGTGCACATCGCATCTCAGCCTACGATGTTATGTTCCATGCGATGTCTGCAAGTCATTCATCAATGACTGGGGAGTGTGTCACTGCTGAGAAATGCCAAACGCTCAGAATTTGTAATACGGAGTACACGAGGAGATCATATATCACGCCATCCAATTTAATAGCTTAAACATGGTAGGCAAGGGCTGTAAAGCTCACTAGATTATCTGACATGTATTCATTGAGCGAGCTTTGCCAGCAGTTCGTTGCCCTGAGCAAGTTAAGCAAGCCCTAATGCCAAGAGGTTGAGTGTGGCGCGGCATACGTTAGTCGTAGCCGCGCAGGTAAACGCTGACTGACCTCTGTAACGCTGAGATGGGGGGATTAGAATTGGTTTTTAAAGAGAGAAAATTTTTAGAAATCATAATGATGAGTTGAAAATCAATGAAATGATATGTGAAATATGGCTAGCGCTGTCCGTTGAAAGTTTTTTGTATCTAGCTAAAACCACGGGATGGTTGTCGGAACCTTATGGTCGCCCTCGGTTTTTTAAAGAAGCCCGACGCCTAATAGCGCTAGAATATTAGTTCAGCTGCCCTAAACTTTAACTAAACCTCTTAACTACTAATAGCGGGCTCAGGCGTATGATGCAGACCCCGCCTTAAAAAAGGATGTGGCTTTTAGTGTGCCTTGGCTCGCCAAGGCAGGTGTGGCATTTGTCGATTTGATAGTTCTCTCGTTGTTTTAATGAACGAGACTCAAGAATTCCCGAGCTGAAAAATCTAAATCGCAAATGAGAATCGTTCAGAACTGTGTGCAACTATATACCTGTATCTGCCGATAAATCCCCCAGGTATTTGTGCTATTCAGGCCCTCGTTCTTGCTAGCATGCTTCAAGACCACTTAATATTAAAGCTGATAGTATCTTCGTGTACATGTAGAGTGCATATATAGACTGGACACGGACCATCACTTGAGAGATATTCTTGGAAACACTACTTAGATAAATAGTAGTTAAATATATATCAAGAGCAAAGGAATAGAGTGTTGCATACATGCTATTTAACTTCAATCAATGTATTGATTTGATCTGATTGATCGTTTCTCTCAAGTCCCTCTTATATTTGGATCTTTTTAGTAGCGCACACGCACCAACTTCCCCCAATCTCTTACAAGCAAGAAAAAGCAAAAGTAGAGGTGCATGATGGAAAGTATGTAAGTGTAATGAAGACAACTGTGGTTAATATTATCTATCAATAATATCTATCAGCAGTAGACAACGTCAACACTATGAAGAAGTATAAGAAGAGAAGTGATGAATAGAAAAAAAGTAAATGAGGAAGAGACGAGATAACGATATTGCCACAAGCAAGATCATAAGATAGAATAAAAAGAATAAAAATAAAAATCAAAGTAAACACCTAATTAACATACAAGCGATAAAAAACAAAATTTCAAAGAAATCAATATAACAGTATATGCATTTGGAGAGAAGCAAAAGACGAAAATGAATATCGAAGAAGAGAAGTTAAAAAAAGCCCATTTCCGTTTCCTTCCCATATATAATATACCATTTCCCAGCTCTGCGGAAGAAAAAAGAAAAGAGAAGGGGAGTAAGAATATAATAACAAAAGAAGAAGAAGAAGAAGGAAAAAAAAAACAGAGAAAGAAAGAAGAGGGGAAAGGAAAAAAAGAGAAAGCAGAGATATCCTCGAATTTTCCCCTTTCCTTTGCCTTTCCAGTTTCCATCCTTCCCTTAGATTTTTAACTCCGTATTGTGTGTTAAAAATAAAGAAAATAAAACAAAAAAGAAAGAAAAAGTACAGTGAAAAGAAGATATAATATATATCCCATACAAATATTCCTCCCATTGATGATTCCTTCTCATCTCAAAAATATATCCATTTTTCCCTTTTTTAATATCCCTTTTTTGCCCATTTCCGTCCTGTAATGTTTCCCTTCATGTAGAATAATAGGAAAATGAAAGAAAAATATTTACCAATAATAATAACAGAAGAATTGGGTACAAAAAACTTTCAGTAGGTGGCGAGGTGCGGTGGGTGGATTGGTGTCCGTATATATGAATAAAGGCGGCTGTGGTGTTTGGATATACATACGCATATCCCTGTTCCGTCGATTTATCGATTTTGCGATAAATAGCGTGATTGTGTATTGACTTTCGCGAGTCCGAGGAAACGGTTTAAATCAAATTTAGAATCCACGGGTCCGCCGGTGGGAACGAGGAAGTTAATAAAAAGCCCTTTATCTGGTTTCCCGTTCCTGGTTCCTGGTTCCTGGGTTTTTGATAGGTTTAAAATCCTAACCCTCTACCTCCTCCGCGTCTCGGGCGGAGGATATTGTAGTAACGGCAGGCGTGCCGCGCCCACTGGCAGATACGCCTGCTCGGGGCTGTTTGCTGCGCTCCAGCCACTTGCGCTTTCCAACGCGGGTTTCGAAATGCGGCGCGACGGAGGTGAGTTCCTGGCTTGCGGTAATCATCGTGCTGCGCATTTTGTTGCGGTACGCGTCCACTATAACAGGGGAAGAGACAAAGATTAGCCAACGACGTTCGTGCAGCAACTCGTAAGGAAGATGGAAAACAGGGGTGGAAAATGTGAAGTGAAGATAGCCAAGGAAATAATAAAAAATAAATAAAAAATAAATAAATAAAAAATAAAGAGAAAAAATAAAAAAAAATAAAATCATACAAGCTCTCTGCAGAAAGAGAGTCCTGCCGGAGAAGACTCTGCTCTGTCCCCAGCTCATGCGATATCCCAAATCGTTCAACATAACCTCCTTATTGCGCTTGCCCCTCGCTATCTTGGGGACTGCCAGATTCGCCTCTCCGTCGAGTGTCGGCACGGGAACCAAAGTTCGCCCAACCGTCGCTTCCGCATCGTCGCCGTTATCTTCATGATTGCCGCCGGCATCGTCATCAACGAACCTGTCACCACGGTTGCCGCGCCCAAACGGGCTCTGCACGGGGAAATACGTTCGCGGGAATACCGAGTTCGACATGCGATAGGAGTCTGGGATTTCCTTCATATCCACCTGATCGAGCATGACTTTCACTCGAACTCTGCAATTGCGCTGCGGATCCTCGACGAGGATAAATTTCCTCCGGCGTCCTTCGGGAAGGTCGCCGAAAAGAGCGGTGTTATCGGGGCTATGGTCATCACTTTCAGAGCGAGAGTGGGAGGTGGCGACAGTGGAATGGCGACCTAAATGGTCTAGGCCTGTATCACGCAAAGGAGGGGGCATGGAAGGCCCAGTTTGGGAGTGGGAGGAGGCCGGATTCGGGTAACTTGGGTAGCCGTGGAACATATGGCCAGGGCGAATGTCTGCTGGGGACGGGCCAGGTTGGGCGTAGGTGTTTGGCGGCGCAGATGGACGATGAGTACCGTTCGAGTATTCAGGGTTGCCTATACATGGATAATATCAAATGAATGGCGTGATATTAGCCTACGCTGTCTGACATCATCTGGCAAAGTTTACCATAACGACAATGAGGATAAGCGAGACATAAAAGCAGACCGTGCTAGGAATGAAAGGTGTTACCCTCCCCGTTTTGACGAATAAGTGTGATAAGTGAAACCAAAAAAGAAAGAAAAGAAAGAAAATGGAAGATCAGGATAACATAGATACACATCGAACGTTTCATCCTTCCAAATGCTTCCCAACATCTACATGAAGGTCATCAAAATTGTCCATCCGCCATAACAACAAGGCAAAAAGCGGAATATATAGATGGTTGAATCCAATAAAAAAAAAAGACAAGGAAATAGCTTTCCCCAAAAAGAGAAAAAAATCACATCTGGTGAAACATACCGCTAACGTCCTCTCCACTCTGTGTTGTGCCCGATTCAGCAGGGTGTGCATGATGATGATGAAGCTGTGGACCTCCCATACTCAAACTTCCCGTGGTGGCTAGAGCAGTACTACCGGGAACTCCTGCAGGAGGGGGACCTGTCAACTGATTGGCATGTTGTGCAGCAACAGCTTTTCTGTTGTTTATCTTTGCCATCCTTCTTACTCTTCGACTGCGCAGCCGCGGGTCTTGATTGCTATTCCGCCAACTATCAACTGCTCTTTGGATAAGTCCACGTTTGCCGCGTAAACAGGAGTTAAGTTCGGCCAATGCCCACCCAACAGCGTTGCATTCGGTCTCGTAGACTAGACGATTCCCTCTGTACTGCTCCTTTGAGCAACATGCTCGTGGATACACGCAGTTTTCGGTCTTGAACTCTTGGCTCAAGTTTTCAATGTTGATATTTTCTACATCGCATCGAATCGTGTACTCCATTTTCACGCGATCCCGCGAATATTCAAAAGCAATCCACTGAACTCCGTTGCCGTCTTGTCTAACAACAAGTGGAGTAGTCGCGGGAATCGGACCGGGAGCAGCACTAGTGTTGCTTCCGCTCGTTCCTGAATGAACAGTACCGCCTGAAACCGGTGGCTGCTGGTGCGATTGGTTTAATGGCGTTCGTTGCGACGAAGGGGGATGTTGAGGAGTTGGGTCAAACTTCATTCGTGGACTGCTCGTAACTCCGCCGGGGTGTTGTTGAGTTTGCTGGTGTTGGTGTTGCAGTTGGCCCGGGGTGCCTTGGTGGCCCACAAGGAGAGGTTGGGATGTGAGATGGGCATGTTGTTGGCTAGGATGAGGCGCATACGGAGTTGTGTGGACAGGGTTCATGGGTGGAAACTGCGGGTAGCCATACATTCCCGAGGCCATTTGAGGCGGCTGCCCGTAGAGGCTTCGTCCATGGGGATCGTGGCCTTGAGGTGATGCGACGGAAGCTGGCGAATTTGACTGAGGTGTGTGGTAGATAGGGGGGTAAGGGCGTTGCATCTGTGCGGTTGCCGCCATAAGATCTGGGGCTTCTGTTGAAAGTTAGCACGCTGATGGCATGTGTTTTTGGTTTGCTACAAAAATTCCACCCTCAACGCCAAAACTACTAAGTTTTTCATCCACCAAAATAACAAAAATGCCGAGGGAAACTGTGCAGGACGAATTTATACTTCGACATCCTCGTGTTTCCTCTTCATCCCTCCTCTCCACCCAGAAATTACCAAGGAATTTAGTTAATCCATACCGCTTGAAGGATAATGTCCTGAACTACTTGTTGCAGTATAAGTCCCGGGGTGAGAAGAATAATAAGGTTCCTGAGCAGGAGCCCCGTATGGCGATTGGCGTTGTAGGTGGATACCGTTTCCTATGACATGCGGCGAAGGGTACGGAGGCTGTGGAATAGAGGTCTCGGACTGATGTGGAGACTTTGGAGGCTGTTTTTGGTGCTGGAGAATGCCTGCAGATCTAGGATGCTGGAGTTGAAGAGGCTGGTGGGTAGCGTGTGAATGTTGAGGTTGTCGCTGTTATGTCAATGGTTTTCAGTCAGCTATCGCCGCTCTTCTTGAGAAATGGTTTCTGCATCCACACAAGAACCGGACAAAATGATAGGGCCAGTCTTCACAACACAGTTGGGTGGGAATGGCCACCTATTTCTCAGGTTTAAACGTATATATGTGCGGAAAGTGTGGGAAAAGAAAAAATATCAACAAAAAAGAGCATCCAAATGAATGATATGCGATTTGACACGAGGAAGAGACCTAAGCAAAGCGTCACTGCAGGGGGAGCGCCCGCCGCGAGCTGACCAGTGCTTGTTCCCGATCTTCAAGGGATGAAAAGGAACGAGAGGCCAAGGGCAGTTACCAACCCTGAAGGGCCAGACGACTCGGTAGATCAACCCCGTCCACTACCCTTGCTTGGTGTGGCACCGATGACTGTGGGGAGAATATGCCGTAATTTTGACAGATCCAACAGGCAAGGCAAGGGTTGAGCACATAAGATGGGGAACTGTGGAGAGGAAGTGCCCGATCTGACCAGGGGGAGTCATGTTTTCACACACAAAACACAAGAAATATGCCAGACCAACAGTTGAGGATAATGAGGATGAAGAGCAGATATTCCGTCAGGGAAAAAGAATACGGTGATCAAAACAGGTACTGGTCTAGCCGCCATGTGATCCAGGCTGCGACAGAGTGCGTGTATGTAATGGAGGCTAGGCAGTGGCAATAGGCGGCGGGGATGTCGAGAGGCCAGCGTGCCCTGTGGTTGGCGGGTGGGTGAAACCCGGATTCTTTTCGACTGCTGCCGCTAACCAGTGTGCTAAGGACAGGCATTATGCTGCTAAGAACGAGGACCTGCCTTGCACGTGTGGACTAGGCCTTTGCGAAGAGGAGAAAAGAAGGACGGAAAAAGAAAAGAAAGCGGGTGAGAGACGTAAGCATCCCAGGAGGGATGGTCTGCCTAGCTGCATATTCCCTCCACGCCCAGAAGGTACCAGCCCACAACCCATGCAGAGTAATGGCAAAGCTGGATCAAAAAAGGTGTCTGGAGCGCGGCATATTATGTACACTCAGCCAACCCTCGATAGATTGACGTGAAGAGCCACAAGAGGAAATAGCAATTCGCGAAATAACGTAGCCATAAGGCCAATGAGCACAGAAGAGATACCATAGAGCTGAGTGTATGAGCGCTCAATATGGTCTGCTCACGTGCCCCAGCCTCGAGGCGTTGAGTCGCGAACATAGCAAGGATGAAATCCTCGTCTTTCTGTCGACGTGACGGACAGAGGAGAGTCCAGGCAGACCGGATATAATGTAAATAGGGAAAGTAGACAATGACCCACCAGACCTCAGGAGCATGTCTGTAACGGCTTTAAAAGCGAGAGGGCGTTTTCCTTGAGGAACAAGAGCAAAAATGGCGATAGGTGGCGATCAAACAAGGTACGAGGCAGCAGTGCAAGCAAGAATCGGGACACAGTTATAGGGAACTAACAAAGAGGATCGATCTCCAGATGAGATAGGGAGAGAAAAGGGCCAGGAAACCGCAGGTATGCATGAACAAAAGCAAAAGCAAGGAAGTAAAATGGAAGAAGCAGTACGGAGTAGAGAAGACAGAAGATAGTAAAGGAAAAAAAAAAAAAAAAAAAAAAAAAAAACCAATACTGGGTGTCACAATACAAGCTGCAAGTTGCTTTTGGCTTGCTCAGATCGTTTTACCCGTTTTCTTCTTTTTCTTTTTCTTCTTCGTCTCTCTCCTTTCTGCTCTTTCTATTCTTCTTCCTTTCTGCTTTTTCTCCTATCTTGGTAAGGCAGATATTTGCTTTTTTTTACGTGGCAATTTTTATACTAAACAGGAAAAAAATAAAAATAAAAATAAAAATAAAACAGAAGCAGCAGAAGAAACAGAAATGTTTCAGACTCACCGAATCATCAATCTGCGACGGCGCTGGTAGCTGCGGATCTTCCTTATGGTACTTGGATGCAGGCGGGCCCAAGTTGGCCTGTTGAACCATGGCTGCCATGGCTTGCTGGGAAGGGCGACTGGGACCTTTATGTCGGGGCGGGCGTGGTCACAGAAGCAATAGTCGGGCAAAGTAAAAATGCAGTAGTGTCGTAGCAACTGGTGCTGGTGAGTGGTGTTGTTGTGAGGAATGGAGGGGGGAAGGGGAGGAAGTTGTAGAGTACCCCTCGCCAGCGTGGTTCTATAGTCAGATTTGACAGATGTGTAGTTCCAACGGTAGATGGAGTAGTGAAGAACCTGACAGGATCAAAGCTTTTTTTTCTTTTCTTTTTTTCTTTTTCCTTTTTTGCTTTTTGAGAGGGGGAAAGGAATGGGTGGGTAAGTTTTGTTGGATGTGATTTGAAGAAACTCAGGAGCTAGGTCAAGGGAATGGAATGGCCGTTGGAGGAGGAGAAGGGGTGATTTAGGTAGCGGGACGGACGAGGATCAGGGCTTGGGGGATCAGTTTAAAGCTTCTTTAGGGGGACTCAACGGCCAAGAGGCTGGAACACTACAGAGCGCGTGTGGATGGACAGGGAACAAAAGGAGCAACAGCAATGGCACAGGCGACCATTGGAGGCGACTTAAGGGGAACGGTTAGTCTGACAGGCATAAAGATAGTTTGGGACTGACTGGGAAGGGAGAAGGGAAGGGGGCGCGAGTGCTAGTTAGCGCCTGTTAACAAGCCAGACGGGGGGGATGATAAGGGGGATGATGGGGGGGACCCCGGGGGGGGGGGGGGGGGAGAAAGGGGCCCCCCCCAAAAAAAAAAAAAATAAAAGGGGGGGGGCGGTGAAAACAGCGAGGGGACCGGACAGGAAGCCGGGCCAAACAAAATTTTTATAATGAAGGGGAAAAAAAAGAAAAAGTGGAGGGAAAGAAGATCCGGGGAACCATTCTTATTACTATTTAATCCTGGCGCCTGGTGGCTGACTCTGGTTTGGGAGGGGAAGCACAAACCGAAAGGAGGAAACTCTCGGGGGGGAAAAAGGGGAAAATATTATGAACGATGGCGGAAAGAAACTTGGAAAGGGAACCATTGTGCTCTTTAATAGCAAAAGAACGCGCCAAAAAAAGCGTTGGCTCAGCACCCCGTGCTAAATAACTAGTGGGAGGGTAAGTAACAGAAAGAACGAGGGGGCTTTAAAAAAACACCCACTACCACCACCAAGAGGCTTGTTTAAT